AGCTTTACTTGGCTGAAAACATTGGTGGGTGAGGGGCCTACACAGTGTTGCACAGCCCTGCCAGAGTTTTGTCTTTTTTACTTTCTGGATATTGTAGTGAGAACGCAGGGTACAGAAGCAAGAGATCACCTCTCTGGGCTAGGAACCCTGACAGACTGAGCCTCCCACACTTGCAAGGGCCCCTTCCCTATAGATCATGGTCACCCCTACACCCAACATCCTCAGGCCAGGCTCCCCACACAAGGGCCCTGGTATGGACACACACAGCCACACCCATACCACTGTGGCCCTTCCTGCTCCTGGCTGCCCCTGACCAAGTAGGCCTCCACGTATCTGAGGGTGCAAATGTCTGTCATGTGCACACGTGTGTGTATGCGCATGCGTTTGCCGTGTTGAATGCAAGTGTGTCTGCTTTGTGGCCTCCAGGAGGACACTGGCGCCCGGCCCCTCTGCATACCTGTGGAAGGCCCCCAGCCGCAGCTCCAGCGTGAGCAGCCTGGTGAGCAGCTACCTGCAGGTAAGGCCCAGAAGCCTGGCGTGCCCTGCTCTGTGTCAGCTGGGGTTGGCCTTGGCCCTCGCCATGAAGGTGACAGCTGCAGAGACCTGTCCCAGGCACCGTATGCAGTCCTTAAGCGACATGTGCTGCTTCCTGGAGCCCCTGTTTCTACACCCAAATAGAATTTGGGCCATCTTAAAATTAAATTCTTTTAAATGATTTTGAAGTCTCCTAAAAGAAGCAGTCCTATCCCATAGCTAAAATTCACAAAGCCAAACCCTTACCCTGCCACCTGCCACCCATGTGGCTAAGAGAAACTACTTAAGGTCTGGAAACTTCAGCTATTTGCCCACCAGCTAGGACAATAAAAGCCAGCTGAGCTCATGATGAAGGAGCTCAGCATAAGCACAGAGCAAGAAACGTTAGTAGACAGTTCACTGATTTTTTTCAGAAATGTGAATGTATCCTAGCTGTATGTAATTTTATGAAAATTGACCAGCAGTACATAAAAGGAGCATTAAAAACAGAAAATAGACCATCCTTTTAACCTCATTTTGCGATATAATTTCCTACCAGAAGTGTTATGGGTACAGTGAGTGGACCGCAGCTTAAATATAAGGGACAATTGAAATATATGGTAAATATTTAAATTTTAAAAATGTGTTACTGTAAAACACACCGTGCCATGAGCCCTCTCAGAATCCTCCCCTCACCCCAGACGCACTCGTCCATGGTCTTTGTCTCAGAATCCTCCCCTCACCCCAGACGCACTCGTCCATGGTCTTTG